CAACCTGAAATTAAAACTGACTAGAACCTTTGAGCTTGAGGCAGGCAGTAAGATGAATGATTATATCCTAGTTCTTCCAAAATAGGGTTTGTAGAGACACTTGTCACAAACCATTCTTTTTTCTGAACTGAAAAAAATCTCGCAAACGTTAGTTATAATTTTAAGTTGCCATTTAAAGTCGTAGGAAAAAAAAACTGGCATCAATTTAGGTGTTCAGGACCTGACATTCACAGTCAGCTGCTTCACAAAAATATGTGAATCAGAATCCAAACATTATTATAGTTTGCATTATATCTTGGAGCGATTAAGTGAAACAGCAAAGAAAAGGGGGAGCTAGTCAGTGGGCACTGGAATTTTTATTATTTTATGTTGTTATTCTCCATAGCCCCCAAAAGCGTAGCTCTCACGGGGGATGCGGTGGGCACAGCTATGCACAGTGAGGCTCTGCCTCACCAACCCCTGTCCTCTGCTACCAGCCAAATGAGCCCGTTGCCAAACTATCCTCTTCCTCATCAAAAAAAGACTGTAATATTCATAGGAAGACTCCTTGCCAAAAGTTCAAGCACTGCCTTTTAGGAGACAGCCCTTGCACACATATTAACACAAGTGCACATGTCTCTCTGTTCTGTGCTCTCAGCACAGCGCCAGGGCAGATCTCAAAGAGCAAAAAGAAAGCCGCCATTTATTAACCAGTTAGTCTAAGACTACCTGTGGGGATGGAGAGTCTACCCTTATATCTGCTCCTGAGTGCTACTGAAAATGACTATAATAAAAGTCAGAGTTTTCCCCATTTCAAGAGCTCTTGATTGAATTGCTCAAAATGCTGAGCTAGTTGGTGCAATACAAGAGTCAAGACGCAACAACCACCACAGGGTTTTGCCATTCTTAGAGAAAAGCTTTGGCCTCCAGCTCTGCTGATTTCTCTCGTTTCCTCAAGGATTACGGGAAAGACCAGGAGGAAGAGGTACGAGCAGCTCCAGTAAATCTGCCTTTGCACAAAGCAAAACTGAACTTCTCTCTCTTGATGTGTTGATGGATAACAGACCAAAGGGCATGTCTGCCCTTTCTACTTTTTCTCCAGAATATATAACCCACATTTGTAGCCACTTTTCACATCAGGAATGACTTAAGTTTTTTTCAGTGTATGCCCTCTGTCCACAATAGTATCAAGGACTGGGCACTATGAACACAAGGGCACCAGTTGAGATTTAGGCTGCGTGAGATTTAGGTTAAAGGCACTGCAGCCCCTGCCCTTAGCAGCCTCCACACTGGGCTGTTACCAGCAAGAGAACAAAGTTATAAAATATCTCAAACAGAGCCCTGTGCAAAGGAGAAAGCTATAACATGTCTCCATTTTCCATGTAATCTATAAAAGAAAGCTTACTCTGAGATTTAAAAAAAATCACTGATGGTTTTTAAAACTGCCAAAACTGCCTTGGACTTTACAACTGCCACATAATCAAAATCTACAGCTCTAACTACAACTCACTTAACATACTTCAGTACAGCACAAGACAGCAATAGTCCAGAGAGATGTTGGCTTCATCATTTAATGGAACCAGCGTATCCTGAGCAATCACCACACTGCCCTCCTCCTTCCCTGCAATAGCAGCATGGCAGGTATTACCAGCAGAGAGGGCTTGGAGAACAGGGTACATGAAGCTTGCAAGCTAGCAAAGAAGAGAGAACAGTCACCTATAAATATCCAGGGAGCAGCAGAGAGGAGGAATTCACGGATAAAAATGAGCATCGTGAGGTGCTTACCTATGCAGTGAATGAGAAGGAAATTGTGTACTTTGAGAACAGGACCACAGATGTTCAAAATAAAATTGTATTTATAGGGAAATACCGTAGCAGAATTTCTTCTCTAAATAAAAGATTCTTCAAGGTGCATGTAGATATTTACTCCCTGCCCTGAAAATAGCAAAGTGATTCAAACCTGACCAGAAGCCCACCATGGCACATGTGGGCACTTTGGAACCCGCTCAGGTAGTCTGACTCACCTGATAGGAGATGCGCAAGATCTGCTCTTTGCTGCAAGCATGAGGTAGGACTGAAAGCATCAAGGGCTGATCCTGTGCATTTTCCACCTAGAGGTACTCTAGGCTTCAGCACCTTGTAGGAGACTATTAGGGTCTTGTGCAAGGTTGGCCTAAGGCAGAGGCAAAATCACTCTAATGGTTAAGCAGTCATGGTGTGTTGTGAGGAAGTGCCTTCCAGGAGAACGTCCAGGTCTGAGAGCTTTACCTTGCAATATTCCTGGCAAGATTGCAAGTCATCCATTTGGTTTTTTTCACACCCAAAGAAAAATTGCATATTTTAACTTACAGATCTGGTCTTAGCTACTGGAAAGCACTAATAAATATGTATTACATAGGATGAATCACTTTGTGGAGGAAGAAATTATTTTTATGATTGCCTTCTGGATATTAGATCAAAAAATATATGTTATCTAGGAAACACTGACATCAGATCTCTTAATTAAGTTTGCCACACCAACTACTTCTTATTTAAGATTTTTTTTTCTGCATACATAAAAAATAAATCTAGTAACAAAGGGTTATGGGAGGATGTTCCTTATTCCTTGATAGATATTTCTCCAATAATAATATTGCCACATATCATGCAATACATATAGAGAGATAATCCATGTGTTTCCTGGAAGTCGATGGGAGCTTTGTCACAGAGTCAGAGACCAGATTTCACTCCAGGTCTTTAGAGCATATTTTGGCTCATGATGCTTATACCAAAGAATTCATAAGGATGCCCCGTATTTCAATCGAGTGACAAAGGCTTTCACCAAGGCTCAAAATACACGCCATGAGCATAGAAGGCAGATCACACCAGGAGAAAATGTTTTCTTCCATTTCAGCTGGTGAGATTACCTCCTTGCATCCATGCCAGATTTAGCTGATCCACATGTTCATCAGTGCTGGGAAACACGGCTGCACTTACCGAAGGGGAATGTGCCAAACAGCCACCAACCTCGCGCACAACGCGGGCTGCTCTGAGCGCATCGTGCTCTGCAGTCTGGAGATCCTCGTGCTCCTGTGCCCGGATCACACCACCAGCAAACACACCCAGGGGCATCAGCAGTGCAGTCTGTGCCATCATCCTCACTGCGTTCCAAGGTGGAGGCGCCGGTCCAGAGAAAGGCCAACAAAACCAAACCCAGAGACGAGATGTTCTCCCCTAGGGTCATGAGACCTTGTCTCAGTCATGAGGCAAGCTGTTGGGGAAGGCCAGGCTGAGCCACTTTTAGGATCTGTGTGCCAGATTTCCCAGCCCAAACTAGGATTTCCCATCTCAGCTGAAAGGTTTGTGACATGCCCACCAACCTGAGCTTTTGCACCCAGCTGGAATTAAGGGGTACCAGGGCAGAGACCATTAAAATGAGTCCAAAACCAAATGAGACCATTAAAATGAGTCCAAAACCAAACGAGACTCTCAGCACTCTGCAAACCTGGGAAAACATGCATGCCCATATCTGCATATGAATTTTGCTGGCCTTTCCCTCTCATTTCGAGAGCTGCTTAATTTTCCTGTTTCGCTCTCTTCTCAAAGATTGGCAACAGATCACTGGTTTGGGATGCCCTGTCGTGGTAGATAAACTCCATTCATGCTTTTAAGAAGCCCTGTGAGGGTGGACAGCCAGGCACTGTTCAGTTACTTGAGAAGACGACATAAAAACCCCGTAATTCATCTTGGCAGTAGAGTAATGCCCTGCCCTTGACAAAATCCCTGCATAAACAACCAGCTGGTGATATGATTATGCCCCAAGGAGGAAAGACTGATAGTCTTGGTGATTTTACTGTGCTATAACAACAAAAGCCATCTTTGTTCACATATTTCTCTAATCCTTCTCTGAAACATTACCAAACGCTCCTTACTGCCTTAAAAAAAGGTGAGTTCTACAAGCAAATAATATGTCACTGAAAGAGCAATCTAAACCTCAGTGTTAGACTTGAAGCTATAGGCCACTTGTTCACTAATGAAGACAAAACTGCAGATGTCAGAGATATTTTCAGGATGCTTTGTTATAATTCACAAAGAAAAGTTAACCTATGGTAGGGAGATATGGAGAATTGCAAGATAAAATAAAATAAAATAAAATAAAATAAAATAAAATAAAATAAAATAAAATAAAATAAAATAAAATAAAATAAAATAAAATAAAATAAAATAAANATAAAATAAAATAAAATAAAATAAAATAAAATAAAATAAAATAAAATAAAATAAAATAAAATAAAATAAAATAAAATAAAATAAAATAAAATAAACTAAAAATGTCTCCTGGTGGCATTGCAAATGCCCAGAGAGTCACTATGAAAAACCTTATCTGTCATAAAGCAAAATTTAAGCAAATATTCTTCAGTGTTGTGATTCCTGAAGCAAAACTTATTAGCAAATTTAAATTAATTCTGCTCCAGGCATTATGATACACTATCAGTTACTTCCTTACCCCTCCTGGGAAATATTTCACTATTGCTGTCAGTCAACTGCTTGAATGCTTGGAGTTTACCAGCTGCATAACATATATTGATTTTTGATGAATGACATCTCTCTCTGGGCCATTATGGTTTTGTTTTCAAACCTTATTTAATTGTTCAACTATTTTTTCAGTGAAATAAATGCAAAGTGTTTATTCTCCAAAGGCTGTAAACAGAGATCTCAGGTCTAGTTTCTATGACAACCCTGCTTGATACAGCAAGCCGAGATTATCGCTAATGACAGACACGAAGTTTAAATTGCACATTCTGCACAGTGCACTGCTGACCTTTTATTGAAAAATGGAATACAGTGTGATTAGCATAATGTGCCGTACGAAAGGGAAAATCGTGGAATAATGCAGTGTACTCTAATCATAACCACAACACTAATCTCCAGCAAAGTGTTTGCCAGAACATGAAGCTTCAAAAATTAAGATTTTCCCAGATACCATTCTGACATTCTGTAGTAACGATGCTCTCAAATAGTTCTCAAATAACACTTGCTGCTCTGCTTTTTTTTCTTTTTTTCCAGCCACAGTCTTTAAAACAGGAGTAAGAATGGATAAGATTATGCAGAATTATGTCCCAAAATTCCAGCTATGAGAAAAATTTTGAAATCTCCTGAAGGCATCTTCTCCTCATGCTCACAAATGTACTAGGAAGCAAGAGCCAAAAGATTCATCCCTCTCTTCAGAAATCTGCACGTCTCCCTAGGAAGAAGATTTGAATAGATGGTAGTGAATAAAGCCCAGCTCATGCACTGAGCCAGGGAGGTTGAGGGAGGTGTTGTGCTTTGCAAGAGCAGAGATGGAAAATACCTTGGCTTCCTATGCAGCAAGTTTCAGCAGGTCTTGAATTTGCCAGCTCAGATTTCCTTTTGTCCACAGAAGAGTTTGCTGCAGTTCACAAAACATTAATGCTTTGGAGAGCTTGGTGTGTGAACTGAAATTTCCACTTGGATTTTGAAAAGCAATGTACTACTATAAGAGATAACAGGCTTTTCTTCACTTTACAAAATGCTTTTAACTTGATTTTCTTTAAACATTCATAAAACAACGGGAAAGGTTTCCTGTTTCTGAATGCTAGTTCAGCTCAGTTCTGTTCTATATAATCAGTGAACAGTCTGCAAACAATGAAATAAAACCATAATTAATATCAAAATATAGTTTTAGATAATAGAACTAGTGGGTCAAGGAACCGAGAATAAAACAGGGAGACTTTCAGTTATCCACCCTCATCTAGAACATAGACTAAGGCAAAAAGTGCCCCAAAGTAATACTTGATTGACCGTTTTCCTGTGCCCTCCATAACAAAACAAACCAAAATACAATAAAATAAAATAAAAACAGCATTGACTGGGTTTCTAATGCTCTGAGTGGCAAGTGTGGAGGAAAAAAAGAGTCTCCGCTACATGGCAGAGAGTCTTTTGTTGTCCAAGAACAGTCACGAAGACAGAAAAGTTACTCAAATATCAAATATTCTTTCTACCTGAAAACAGCAACCTTACATCAAAGCTCTGCCCTTCCCCATTCAGAAAATCTGAGGTAAAAAATGATGTTTAGGTATTAGTTGACATACCAGTGCCATTAGGGGCAGCATATTCTCTCATTTCGCCTTTGTTGTAATGACAGCTCAGTTGTATTTATTGGCTGTTCAGACACTAGCAGTAATAAAGCATTTCCTTAGCACAGACAGACTGCCAGGTACCTGCAGCCTGAGAAACTATTCACTGCTATTCTCCTCATTCTCTGCTTTTCAAGGGTTTTGCATTTGGCAGAATTAGGGATATTTCTCTTAATAACCTTTATCTTCCACTAGAGCTGCTGTCAGGAAGGAATCAATTCATTTAAAAGGCATCCACTTATTTCCACATGGAGGAATTACACTCATAAATGTCAGCCGGTGATTTCATATCTGAGATACAGAACTGTGTGTTTGGTAAGGCAGCATGTCCCAGGCTGGGGTATTTCTAATCCTTTAGAACAAGAAGAAGCAAGAAGACGGCAAGACTCCAATTTACACTTGCCCATATCATAAACATCACCCTCTAACTGAAATTTTTGGTTTACCATTCACTTAGAAGGAAAATTTCCAGTCCTCTGCCCCAGGTTCCAAGCCCAGAGCTGAGACTCCCTTCATGGTTCTCTGTAAGCTCACAAGGATTAAGGCTGTGGAGCTCAGAAGGCACCTGAGGGTTTCTGGGGCTTAGAAATATAGATAACATACATTGCTATTCTGTATAGGATTCAGTAAACTGTACCTTTGTTTACTTGTAAATGCAGCACACAGTTGTTTTTTGATTTAGTTGCGAACTGGATTTCTAAGTGAATCGGGTTGGCTCCATCCATAGTGGAGATTCTTAACCAGTATGAGAGACACGTGAACATTTAAGACTTCTCAAAAAACACTTTTTCTGTTCAAAATCATCATCTGCTGCTGCTTTCCTTTCCAGCACAGTAATGAGTTGCTGAAACACCACGAATGAGTAAATGCAAGCAGGCAGATGAGCCCCAAAATGGGTGTCATCTTCTAGATACTTTGGCTTCCAGATTTGCTGGATTCCTGTTGTATTAAAGGGCTATAGCAGAACTTGAGAATCATATAATCAATCAGAGCCTGTGAAAAACGAAATGATACTCACACTTAGCCAGGCACAAGAAGAATGGTAGGCAGAGGTGTCTGTAAAATGAACAGAAAAATTATCAAGAGATCTTTCATTAATCACAGAATGGTGGAGGTTGGAAGGGGCCTCTAGAGACCATCTAGTCCAACTCCCCTGCTCAAGCAGGGACACCTAGAGCATGTGACACAGGGTGGCATCCAGGTGGGTCTGGAAGATCTCTAAATCACTCTTTATGCTCATGTTACTTCTGCTCAGTAGATGTTCAGGGGATTACATGGCAAGATCTCTTATAGTTTGACTTTGTGTGCCTTCTGCATATCAAAATATTGCTTAAGACAAATGTCTCAACTACGTAAAACAACTCAAACATAATTAAAACAAGAAAAATCAAAGAGCAGTTCTTTCGAGTAGGCCTGCACACTTTGTTTCCTTTCTGAGATAAACTGGTGGAATTCCATAAACTGATGGAATGAGAGAGTTGAACCAAGAGAAAAAAAAGTACTGGGAGAAGAACAAGAGGGAATAAACAGGGAGGTGAAGGCATTTAGGTGGGGCCCTGCTCTCAGGGAAAACCCTGTTTAGACAGAAACTGAGGACAGACATCTGGATGGTATTGACAGAAATGACCTTGCTACGAAGTAGGGAAAGCAACAGCTCTCAAATACTGCAGGAGATGCCCTAAATAAGGACCATGTTTTCCTTCTGACTGCATAACTCACAATAATTCTACCTCCTTTCAATAGTATTTCACAAAAATATTGAAAAGGTTTTGAGGAAATGTAAAGAAAACTAAGGCCATTTCCATGTAACCTGTAAGACTTTCAATACTGTATGAGATTCTGATAATTTTATCACTCCTAACCCGCCCTTTTAACCTCAGGCCTACTCCTGCTTTTTATCCCCAGTCTTTAGACAAAACGGGCTCATCTGAAATAGCTCTGGTTCAGCAAATTCGGACAGTGGGAATCAAGGAGGCAGTCCTGGTGCTGGATGCCATCTCTACACCCTTTTCAGACCCTTTGAGCTAGGCTTCAGGATCTGTTTTATGTCAGATTTTGCCACCTATCAGAGGAGGTATCTGCCAACTAGTTGTTTAACCATTTAGGATTAAGGCAATAGCAGCTGATGTTGGAAATGTTAGAGAGGTTTAAAGACTCTTAGGTTAAGGATGCTAAGCTTAGAGAGTTTCTGAGTCAAGGAGAAGATGGACATCTGTACTGCTGAACCAGACACATTTTCTTGACATCCCTTCTGCCCTGGATTTATTTATTTATGCAGTTTTTAATTTATGTATGTATTGCTATCCGTGAGGTGATGCTGTGTGTATTGCTGGGGCCAGGTTTTCATCAGGCTGGGAGGAAAGAGGTTTCTTAGCAACCTGGCGGTGATGTATGGATCCCTACAATGAGGTTCTCACTGGAACGGAGAGGATAGTGTTTCCTAGCAACCTGGAGCCATATGGATTGGCCTGGCCAAATCCTTAGCCGAAAGGGGGACAGCTCCCTGCACCTGGAGATAGGACTTTTTTTTTTTTTTTCCCCCCTTCCCTGGAAACAAACACTTCCTTGGCTAATTTTAGTGAAACGCCCGATCAGATCCCACAGCTCAGCACTGTTTTGCCTGCTGTGAGCAATATGGTTTCGCTAGCATGTGAAAGCAGCATCTTGCCCTGCTGGCTGAAGCGTCTTTCCTTGCCAGCCGTTCCCTGGTGCAATTCTGGAGCACTGTAGGGAATGAATGAGTCAGTAAACCAACTCCTTAAGACTAGATTGCTCCTGTGAAAATACTACTCTTTTAGACAGGAACAGCAGTATCTAGAGGGAGTCGACCCTGTTACTGCTTTAGTCATCCACATGCCTGACTGGAATTGCCAGGATGGCAGTACGGTGTGGTAGGCAGCATTTTTACTCTATGTAAGTCATGGCAATGATCTTCTTGAGATGAGATCTCAGTGGCCAAGTTTGGTGGTGTTTCAAGGCCCTTAATTATGCCTTTAGCCAAATGTTTTGGGAGTATACGTGCCAACCTGAGCAATAAAACGTAGAGATTGCTCAGAGCTTGCATGGAGGTGTTAGCACTGCTAGAGAAAATTACTTTGTTGCCTGTAGGCTGATCCCCTTTGCAAGGAAGGGAGAAAATACCTTCCAGAGCGGGGATTCTTCAGTGCCTGTGCTGCCGTTAATCCTAAAACAGACGGAAAAAGGGGAGACAATTCCTCAGATATGGACACGGTTGGAGGTTCTCCCTGTTGATCTCAGGGTAAGTTTGTTTCCTTGGAGCCCAAGAAATGCCTGGTACTGAGGATCATCCCAAAGAGGGTTTGAGAGAAAGCTGAGAAAACCTGCCTTTTTCATCTCTACCATGCTCTTCTGACAGCCAGTCAAACGTGCTCAATGAGGTCATCATCTTCTGTGGTAGCTGCCATGATCTTGAGACCCTCTTTCCAGTGACCACACAATTTTCTTATTGCCATCTGTGCTGGTTTCAAATTAGTGCTTCACATAAAGAAATCCCACCGAGTGCTCAGCTCAGAAAGCTCACAAGATGCGCTGGCCACAGCAGGAATACACTGATGATCATTTCTGGCACAGCCTCACAGCTAATGAAGGACCATTTGCAAGGGAATTGCTTTTCACACAGCAAGGGTTTTGTGGTAAAGGTGTAAAATATATCTGGAATTGGGCAGGCTGCTGCTTTCATGATGCAGTCATGAAAAAGCCCATCATGCTACTGAGACACAGCACGTCTGCAGGGAAAACATGTCCTGGGTTTCCTTTTTTCCTTTTACTGTCCCCTAATTTCCCCATGTGCACAGGACATGGTTTTGTGATCATCATTGCTAAACCACCACCACCACTCCTGCCCTGCTCAGGAACCCCACACCTGTACTGTACCCCACACATTTTACTTCACCTGTAAAATAGGACATTTTAAAGCCAAGGCGATTTCTCAGCCTCCAACACCCGCAGGCCTGTGTTTCAGGGCTTCTTCTAATGAGGCTGTATAAAGGATATGACGTTCAAATGACAGCCGTGCAGGCATAACAGCAGGAGGCAGGGCAAAGGGCTGAGAGAGGAGTCCCAATATTTTGCATGTGCAGAAAGGACACCAGGAGCAGAGATGGCAAAGTAGCAGAACCATCAACCTCCTCAGCAATATGGTGTTTTTGTTCAATAAGAAGCTGCTGGCAATCTGCTCCAAAGCATTCTACTAGCAAGCCCAGAGCCACAAATTAGCCTGTGAGTTATCCTTGCTCTGTAATGCTGCACTAGGTAGCTCTTCCCCTTCCCTCAACAGAGATCAATCAATCAGAGATCAGTCATAAACCTATCAACAGAATCATAGAAATCAGGTCAGGTGAGAACTTTGGGAGGTCTTCATCCCACAGAGGAGGGAGATTAATTCCAGTTACACCATTTATGTCTCTAGCCTGAGCTAAAAAACACTCCTTCTGCCGAGATTCCCAAGGACTGTCTGAGAAGCCACTCTTGCTGCTGTTGTAAAGAAAGATAGTCTCGATTACTGTGGCTTCCAAGGATCTCAGGGACATCCTTCACTTTATAGAAATTATGCTGTTTGATAGCCTGGAGGCTCTCTTCCCTGACAGATAACACCTTATCTGCTTATAAGAGACCTTTATTCTTGCATGCTTAATTTGTTATTGATTTCTGATTTTCATTACCTAATAGGAGGGGGCGACATTAATTATGGGGGACTTTCACCATTTTTCTCCAGCAATTTAACCAAAATACCCAGCCTTTTCTTTTTCAGATGGGGGAATGGGACTATGACTCAGAGCTGCATTATTGCCAGCTGGGCAGGTGATGGGAAACAGATCTGCTAATTGCCAAGCTTAGGCTGGAGAACTCGAGTGCAGAACCTGGGGTCAACACTCAACCACAGCACCTTTATGTGGTGTCTCCTCTTGACTTGAGATCAGCTCTTTCTAACAAAAGAAGTGAGAAAATTTCTTTCTGCAAATGGTTGCAGCTCACACCACAGCCATGGGCTGTAATAAACCAGGAGGTCAGATACAAAACCTCTTGAAACAAAGCAATTTTAGCTGGAAAAGTGAAGAGCTGGTAACTTAATCTAAGATGTTCGAAAGCTTATCTATGTCATTCAGCTGTATCAGCTGGTCTAATAAGAGATAATTCTCCTTACAGCTCTTACCTGGGAAATGGGAGTCATTTATCAATAAAGACTGTTCCCTGAACTACCTTGACCTTTTTCTGTTGACGCTTCTTCCTCATTGAGATTTTTAAACACTTAAGGGAGAGTAACACAGTCCAACTTTAAGTGTATTACAACTTTATGTGCCCTATATAACCTGAAAAAAAAGGAGTTTCAGAAGACTAAGTTAAAGGCCTCCAGTTAGATGGTATTATTATAACCCAAGTACACTATCCAGCACATATTTACAGACATAGACTTCCCTATAGAACTAAATTGATTTATACTGATTTCCATGTTGTCACAACACACACCAATATTATACCTGAAGCCTAGTCATTAAACTTTAAATTATATATATTTTAAATAGTGCTAATTAGCACCATTTGATGTGGTAATTACTGATATTGGTTTCCTGTAGGAAGAGCACTCCAACTACCAGTTAATTTCATATGGAAAACAGATGTCACATGGTAATACCATTAAAAGTCACTAAGCTGATCTGCATTCTAAGCCATGGCACAGAGGTGAAAGGCTCTGTAGCCAATTATTGCTTCTCTGTGCCAGCCAGTCCCCAAACACATACAGCATATGCAGATCCAGTCCTCCCTGCCTTTAATTAGATCCTGCCTACCCTCTTAGCAATAGCAATATCAGGGAGCAGGGCACACATGGGGCAATAATCAGAGAGAGATGTTGATGTGTTCTGCTAGCACCTGCCTGCTGTTTACAAGGAGGAAAACCAGCACCAGGAGACAATCACATTCAGCAGAATGGACATCTCTGTGAAGCCAATAAAAATGGGGGATTATATGCAGAATCTCCCAAGTCACTTCATATGTTGCAATGGCCACATCACAGACAGATTTATGATGAATGTTTTACTGGAAGCTGTGAGTGCCCAGAAATACAGGTTTGCACTGACTGCCTAGGAGGAAATGACTTTAAAGGAGGAAATGACTTTCAAGTCACCATTGGCAGAATCTAGTACAAGCTGAGGAAATCTCATGAATCTATCCAACTTGCAGTGATTATGGAATTGGGAAATAGATGCTAAAAGGGTCTAAAGGAAGGACTACAACAGACAAACTGTCTTAGTGAGGTTTTCCAACTAGCAACTCGCCTGGAGGTTGCTGCTGGGTTCCAGCACAGAGGATGTCCTTGTATCTTCCCCTCTCCCTGCATGGTCACGCGTGCTCTGGCTCCAGTCTCTCCGGCACAGCTGATACCAACTCTATTTCTGCTTCTTCTATAATTATTGGCAACATTCTCTTTTCCACATCTTCCAGGAGGTTAAGTTGATCTTTCCCAGATCACCAGCCACTCTGCAGTAGCAGGAAAATGTCTCTTCTGCAACAAAAGAAGTCTTACATTAGACTTAAAAAGCACAGATTCATGCCTTTCAAAAAACATATAGATTTTTCCCTCACAACCACCAAGGTACGTCCCCAATAACTGCCCCATCTCTTGCTGCTCATGATCTCTTCACTTCATCAGCAAATCTTTCTTTCACTCAGTTCCTCTGCTATGAGGGAGAGGAGACCCATTCTTTCCATATTTTACATTTCTATGTCACATGAATACCTAGCACACCACCATGTCTATTCACCAATAGGTTTGTTTAGATTTTTAGTTCAGGGTGGATACAACAGGCTAAAGAGCTTGGTCAAGCAAAGGTCAGAGTCTTGTTGGACCCTAACCCAGGGCAGACTTGGCTGCAGCATGCACGTACATTAACACTGTGAGCATCCAAAATGAAAAGCACTTCTGGAAAGGAAATAACCCCTCGAGATCAGCAAACAAGGAGCACAAGATCAAATAAATGAGTAAACTGAGTCTTGCGTAAAATCCCATGGACACAATGGAGACCTCTCACTACTTCTCTAAAATATGTTGACTTCAACTCATGCTCAATATTGGATTATTGGAAATATTGGATCCTTTTGCTTTACATCCATCCTTTTGCTTTACATCCATCCTTTTTGCTAATCCTTTCAATGGGAGAATCCCTACATATTTAATAAATTAAGCAGCTAGAAAGGAGACAAGAAACTCTTCCTGCTCCTCTGGAAAATGACACAACCTCTCATGAACAGATACGAGAGAGTTCCATCAAGAAAGCTGCAAATAAAGCAAAATTTCCATCCACACCTTTTTAAGCATTAAATAAATCCTCTGGAAGAGACAGACCTGCAGGCACTTCAGTCATGCCAATCCTCACACATGCAAGCAAGTTCCTCAGCTGCATGTTTCTCCTCACCTGGAGACGCTGGAAAGTTAACACACTGCCTGGCTTCCAGCAAGCAAGCTGGAAACCATCAAAGAAAAATAGAGAAAGAAGAATCTCCATCTCCCTACACACTCACCCAAAGCTGCATATTAGCTTCCTCTCAATTTTTCCTCTCATAAAAAAAAACAAAAAAAATAAAAAACAAGGTGTTCCCTAATTCTGTAAACAGCTGTCACAGTATGTGGCATGAAGAAAATATTAAATAAGTGTGAAAGATTTAAAAGCACACATGTCCATGCAGTATTAGCCTGCATGAGAAATATTTTAGAGAGTGATCCTGCATGTTTATCCTTGTCCAACTTGATTTGCAGTGAGAAAAAGTATCCTGACCATAAAAGGGCTAGGACACATAACACAATAACTATTTAGCTGGATTAAACCATACTGGGAGCATCGAATATTGTTTAGAGCACATAAAAACTGCTTTAATTTTTAAATGTATCCCATGGCTGCACTCTTTAGATTTGCCAGATTCACTGGGGCTGCACAGCTATTAGCTTCTACATTTCATCTTCAATTCCTCTTCACAGTAGGAGAAACATAAAAATGAGGGTCACTGCGTGGTCATTTCATTACCCCTGGCAGAGAAATGTGCTTCGCACAAATGAGGAAATATTTTAGATGTAGACTGTTGTAATGTGGGTGTAATAAAAATAAAACCAGAGTTTAAAAAAAAAAAGTGATATTACAATGGTTGCTTTGTGGAATAACATTAAAATAATATGCAATGAAGCAATGGTGAAATGGGGAAAGATTATCAAATGCCATTTATTAATCGTGACGAGTCATGAAACAAAAAAACATGGTCTTACAAACGCTTCAGATCATGATTGCATCAGCTCTGGATCTAAATCCCTCTTTCAAGAGCTTCCCAAACAGCATCTTCCAGTAATAGGAGAGCTGTCCCCTCTACTAGTTCCTGGGGAGAAAAGCTAATGAATTGGGCGAGCTCACCCAGTTCAACAAGGTCTATTTGCACCACCAAGAAGTGACATTTAATCAAGTGTCTGGAATATGGTTTAAAGTGATTCAATTTTCAATGATGAATAAAGCTTGCAGAAACAAGAGAAAGTTTTTCATTTTTTCTTTTAAAAATAAGTCTTAGGGAGTTTTGTGGCTCTGCCTTAAGGGCTATAAATGAAGATGAGAATATTACTAGAGTACAGTGGCAATACCTGAGAGAAATACATTCTCTTAGAGATAGTTTTTAAATGAGAAATCTAATGTTATTGCTAAACTCTTCTACATAAGCTCTTATAACAGCATACATCTTACGGTAACAGCATCCAAGACATCTGTGTGAAAGAATCACTGAAATTGTGCATATTCAGAGTAACCAAAGTTACTCTGGAAGCGCTAGAAATATCATTAAAATCAGAAATATTTTGTTATTTTTAGCCATACATACCAAAAGAGTTTCCTATGAACAGCAAGCTCTAGTAGAGCTTCCAATACAGAGCAGTAGAACCCAAGACCCAAGTCCAGCTGACTATTAACAAACAGGAGATCTCATCCACTCTTGCTGATCCTCCCTCAAAACTATTTTCTTCATTGCCCCAGTGTAATATCATTCATTTTCATGAACCATATGAAAATGCTGAGAAGGTGAAATAAGTTTCACCCAACACTAATACAGTCAATCATAGAAACGGATTCTTGGGGCAAATTGCACAAAGCTTTCTCCACTGCCACCTGTAAAAAGAATACAGCTTCCAGCCAATTTACATATCTTGCTGACAGCAGCTTTTACTGGTATCACAGTGATCTTATATTCCTTTTCCTAGCTGAGTGTGATTGCAAGAGAAAACAAGTGTGGTAACACACTGCACCTGGCTGTGCTCAGCAGCCCGCTGAAGGAGGTAAATGCCTGGAAAACAGTGACACGCTTCTCTGGAAGTTTAATCCATGACAGGAGCTGAATGCACGTTTGGCATCTACTAAGATAAATATGAGGAAAATTATTACTCTCTTAGCAGTTAAGTAACAACCCCGTGATAGGGAAATTGCAAAGCTGCACTGCTTTGTCTAATGACTATCCATTGGCTAAAAAGAGCTCAGAGATATGTAATACAAGCAGAAATAAAACCCATGGTTAGATACATTGAAAGCATTTCTTCTAATAGGGCTTTGTAGTTTCTTGTCAAAATTTTTCACCTTGGCAGCCCTCAGCCCCCATGCATGATGCAGTGGAGATGCTACAGACAAACCTGCTCTGCTTGGGGCTCACAGGTTCTGCACACACAGGATGCGATTCTACACTGACATAACGCATATTCACGCCAATAAGCCCCTTTCAGCACTTGTGGAAATGCTCGGTCAATAAAATGTAATGACATTATTAGAGCAAATTCGTTTTCAAGTTAAGTGCCTGGCTCTCTGTCTTCAGGACTATACCAGCAGTTAGGCTTCATCATGGCGAATAAACAAAGGCTCCAATTCGGCTCTGCATTTGATTAAAAGGGAGTGAAATCTTGGGATAATTATATTATTTATCAAGAGTCAATTCAGATCACTCTACATTTCCAGAGCAGAATTTGACAACTTTTTTCTTATAAGATAAATATGTATCTTCATGAACATGTTGCTGTCAAAAAAGGTGGAGTAGATTATTAAGACTAGGCATGACATAAAAGCTGCCCTAAAGTTCCTATCTTTGCACTTTATTTATATACATTCCTCACCAGATCCATCCCCTTCTTCTCGCACTGCAGCCTGCAACCCAGGGACACCTGAGAGGAAGGAGAATAACTGGAGATGCCCATTGATGTCCACACACATGGGCAGCCTCAGGCGCAGTCCACACAGGCTCAGGGTTTACACTGCACGGCATGAGCCCAGGCCACTCCTGGTGTTCAAAGACGTGCTGGGAGTTTCTAGTACTGGAAGTCTAAGCCATGGACCAGACCTCCACTCTGCCCGGCATCCAAATACCAGGAATATCTCCATTTTTTTATAGTATCTCCTGCTCTGAAGCAGCAGGTATGAAGATTCTGGAAGTATCATGATCATACCTCACGGAGACAAGGCCATCACGACTCCATTTCACCCTTCTGCTCAACTTCCTGCTATGTAAACCAGAAATAAGGACACATCCTGAACTCCCCGAGCAGGGATGTGGTGACGTACCGGCAGCTCAGCCCATGGCTCTAGAACCGCCACTCATTGTCATCTGAAGCTGGATCCGCTCTGTGTGATGGCAGACAGGAGAAGCAGACCCTGCCTGCCAAGTGAACTGCAGAAAGGACGGGAGGAGCAAAAACCCGGCGCGCTACCAAAGGCTTTGCAAACCTAGATAACAACACGCTGTTTACTGGCAGCAAACCGGATCAGAGAAGAAAAATAGAGCAAGGGGAGAGGATTTATGCAAATGTTCTTAATTTAATAACTGTGATCAGATATGGCTTTGTTTCTTCCATGTAATTTGTGTGATACAAATAAAGTTCAAAGATTCCTTTCCACCACAGGAAACGAGGACTATTAAACATTGCACCAAAAAGCAAGGGAATGTGTTTATTGACATGAAAAATGATGCTGTGGATACAAAAGCTTTTGTGTGTTAATTGCTAAATGTCAGTGCAATTCAGAAAGTAGTTGCAGAAGGGAAGAATTCCTTTCCAAGCAGAAGCGGCTTCTCCTCATCTAGCAGCCTGATTCAAAACTGCATCTTGGAAGTATTTGTGGCTGTGTTTTGAATGGTGACACTGGGTCAGTACCCAAAAACATCCTCACTAAATATTGATGTGGTTACTTGCTAGGAGGCATAAAGGAAGTAAAGGATTTCCTCCCAGTTTTATTACTGAATGCTCAAAATGTTTCCTGGGGCAAACAACACCAAAGCCATCCGGGTTTTGGGGAGAGGCTGAGGGTTTTGGAAACAAAAGAAGAATAACAGTAGCAACTAGTGATGGAAAAATACAGGTCTAGAGCATGTATTGAGAAATATCTTATTCTGAAAGGAGAGGAAACAACCACACACATTTCTAGCTGATATATAAACACAGCAGCCTGGGAAGCCTTTGAACACAGTGTTTTTAGCCCACTCCCTAAAGGAGAAGAGAAACATAAAATATATGATTCCTCTGCCACCTGTTAGAGACTCTCCAGTAAATTAAGTTGTGGACTGGCAGATGCAGGAGCTTCTTAAATTCTTCAATCAAAAACTGTTCATTTACCATTCCAGTAGAAGACTTTTCAACCCTAATGGAGAAAGACAGATGAAGACAGCTTATCATGCAAGCAGGAAAATATTTACAGAAGGAAGTGAATGTATTTTCTCCCCGACGACTACTGCAAGGAGTCCAAACCCCATTAGTGCAGAGAGGCACCAGCACAGTTGGCTGCACAGAGTCAGAGACAAGTAGATGTTCCATGGGACACGAAAGCACAACTTGCAAAGCTGCTGTGGGGTCCATCCTCCCCAAACGTCGTTGGAGAAGCAATGCTCCCAAAAGGGTTTGGTTAATTCGGAAGAAAGCTTGATGTGTCCCGGGATGACTGTCAAGTGCTTCGCTCTGTACCCTGCAGCACTGCACCTTTCTCTAACAAGTCATCTCCAGCTGTGCTCGCAGAAACCTGTGCAGTTTTGTTGCTCCACGCACCATCATAGGACTCATGCAGAAAGACCATGCATGGCTCTACAGTCCACATGGTTCCAAAAGAGGCTGGAAAATTAGAATGAGTGAAGAAAAGTGCCCCCAAAATGGCTTAGAGGCTGGGGAAAGGGAATTCCTTCCAGCGAGGGGTTTGATGGGCTGGATTTGCTTAGCTAATGAAAGAGAAGCCCACACGTGACTTGATTACAGGGCATTAAGCACCTCCATGGAGATAAAATATCAGCTAAAAAGGGCTCTTTAATCTAGCAGAGAAAAGCTTAAAGAGAAGCCATGGCTGGAAGATAAAGCCGGACAATTTGAAAGAGAAAATAAGGCCCAGATTTTACACAGTGGGAACAAACTAGCAAAGGACATAGTCCTCAAACCCCAGGAAGGGGAGCTGGAGAATAGATTACAACTGCTTCCTAGATAAGTTTGAAGTCATCATTTGATAAGGGAATACAGGCTCACTCCAGCTGACTCTGACTCCCCACCTGAGGAGGAAGCTTTAAAGCAGATTTAAAGACAGGGCTTTTGTTACTGTTTTGCAGAGCATTTGGTATCCTAGTAATGTTTGGGATTCTTCCTCATGTATGACTAATTATTTCTATTTCCTGTTTTCTTTGGAATTGCTGCTGTTCTGCATTGCTGGAACTTGAAATATTGTTTCATGGAATATTACTGTATTTATGCATACCACAAACTCAAGAGACATGAATTCCTTTTTGTTCTACTGCTACAGCTCTTGAAAGGGCATTCCTCATCTCCAATAAATATTAACAAAAAAATTGTGAAAGCTTCAACCTCCTATAAAAATGTTTAATCACTAAAAAAGTATTGTTTCCATTTAAGCTAAAAGGAGAGGGAAAAGAAGAAAAAATAGAGAGGTTTTGGTTTTCAAATGTCAGATTACCATGTTGTTATACTAAGAGAGCACCATTGTGTCACAAGGCCAGTTTCTGTCAAAAGAAAATGTTTCTAAAAAATTATTTTTCTCCATTCGTTCAGCTGCCTACATAATTCTGTGTTCTAGCATTTTGGGGAAAGAGAAAAAAAAATCCTTAATTGGCCAGTTCATGCCTCATTTTCTTTGAAGGAAGAGAAAAATCTTGATACTAAAGCCAAAAAAAAATGGAAATTGGAGTATTTTCCTAACTCTGCCACAGATCAGGTGACTGGTCCAAGAATGCACAAACAATAATTCTTTGTCTGGTAAAGAAAAAAAAAGTAAAAGAGAGCTTTAGAGGTTTAGCTGGTTTAGTGCTTTCATGTCTGTAAAGGGCTGCAGGGTCAGGTGGTAGAGAGCAAAATGTATTTCAGCTCCTCATTTTGTTCTCTCATACAGTAGGCTGAAGACAGTTTAAAGTCTCTGTCTATAAAAACATCAGATTCTACAAGAAAATTCCTACGGAAATTCAACTTTTTAGGTACCTCTCTCTCCCCAGGCAGCATCTCACTGTAACCTCAGAATGGCTGTTTTATAGTCTCAGTTTTATCTTCTCCTCGTAGTCAGAAAGGCTTGCTGCTGTCTTGCTCCGGTGCCCTTTTTCCCCCACACCCCTCCTGCCCTCATCATTAATGGCTGATAAATAGCTAACGAGCAGATTGGACATTAGGACCTCTCTTTCCATCTGGACTGCATGTTACTTTACAGGCCCTGCTAGAGCTTTATTAGATTTGGGTGCGGATTATTGATTTAGGTAGATGAGGTCGTTGTAACCTCATCTCACAGGGAAAGGAAGCAGGGGAAGCCAAATGTAATTCAGCTTTTATTTTCTGTAGCAGCATAAGCCAACAGGGGAGAAAAAAAGTCGAAGCCAACCCAAAGGATGTCCATAAAAAGCCATAACTGGACCCTATACCAGGGGTTCAGGCACTTGAAAAGTAAAGACTTGAGGTAGGATATAAAAGTGAGAGTTTTCCCTGGATTAGCACAACAGTATAGGTAGCTGGTGCTAGTGAAAAGAGACACTGTTAATAAAAGGGCACACTACTCACAGGGCAAAGTGACAGCTATTTATAGAATAGGATCGCTCTACCAAAGACATAGTGATAGCTTAATAAAAGCACAGCTTTCACTTTAGTTATTTTTACTGCTGTTAAGCAGCCATATCAGCACCCGCCGA